CCCGCCAACCGCCCCCTTTCTCATTCTCATTTTGGTTTTTCATTAAATCGGGGAACGAGAGCCAATCAAACTGATATTAAATGTACCAACGGTCTTTCAATCTTTATTAGGTTTCTTTGGGCGAAATGAAGTATTGATCGACATTGAAATCATTGATTGATGATTATTGATTATTTTTTTACGATCATTGAGGTAATTCGAGTCATCTGGAGGTGCCGAAAGGACTCAGAGATTTTTTAAGATGAATTTTTTCCAATTCAATCGGGGGTTTTTTGCTATAAAGTAATCAATAATTATTTTTGATGATCATTGAGGTAATCCGAGTGATCTAGAGATACTGAAGGGATTAAAATATTTTTTAAGAGAAGTTTTTATGATTCAATTGTTTTTTTTTGCGATAAAATGAGGAAATTCGAAAATTGGCCGAAAAATATTGGATAAGTATTTTTTTATTTTTAAACGTCATGAAAAATTGAGAGCGGATGTTTTCAATTTCCTTCGACTTAATCATTTTTCATCTAATTTTCATATCTAGGAATGAAGAAATTTCATGCAAAATTCCAATTGCTCCAGAAAAAAATGTGATCATATCTGTAATAAATTGAAATCATTGATTGAGGATTATTCATTAATTTTTAGGATTATTGAGGTAATCCGAGTTCTCTAAAGATACTGAAGGGATTTAAATCTTTCTTAAGATGAATTTTTTCTAATTGAATTGTTTTTTTTTTTTGCTATAAAGTAATCAATAATTATTTTTGATGATCATTGAGTTAATCCGAGTCATCTAGAGATTCTGAAGGGATTAAAATATTTTTTAGTAGAAATTTTTATGATTCAATTGTTTTTTTTTTTGCGATAAAATGAGGAAATTTGAAAATTGGCTGAAAAATATTGGATAAGTATTTTTTTATTTTTAAACGTCATGAAAAATTGAGAGCGGATGTTTTCAATTTCCTTCAACTTAATCATTTTTCATCTAATTTTCATAAATTTTCATTTCATAAATGATTGATTGATGATTATTCATTATTTTTTATGATCATTGAGGTAGCCCAAGTCATCTAGAGGTACTGCGAAATTTTTAAATTCAAAATTCGCTTTTTGCTTGAAATGTGTTCATTTTAAAACGACAAAATTCCGAAATTGAATAAAAAATATTAAATAAACATTTTATTTCTACAAAAATTGGGGATGTCTCAGTCAATTGAATAATCGTCTGCACGACATCAGAATGTTTCGGATACAATGCCTGCGTTTGATACTTCGTGTCCAATATTTCTCCCCCAATTTTCATATTCAGTAATAAAAAAAGTCACGCAAAATCCCAACTTCAGAAAAAATTGAAAAACATTAGTGTTCACAAATTATTGACAAAAAGATCCTCAACGTTCAATAACACAATTCAATCATCGCAAAACGTCCGCCCGTGCCCCAGTATAAAATCGTGCCCGAATGAAAGCTCTGACATTCAACCTCACCTACTGCACTTCCAAACAATTTTAACAAAATAAAAAACATTTTTCAACAACACAAAATAAAAAAATCCCGAGATCAACTCTAAACCTCGAAAACATTCTAAAAACATGTTTAAAAAATTTTCTTGATCGCCCTCGAGCCCAATTAAAACCATCTCCATCCGCTTAAATAAATAAAAAAAACATATCAATAATTACCTTCATAACCGTAAAACCCAAGAGGTATACGGTGAAATGGAATAAATAAAAAATAAATAATTACCTTCATTTTTCGTCGAATGGCCGAGTATCTGTTCAATGCTGTAAGCATTGCGCTTCTGATTGCAAGTCTGTGCCATCATCAAACTCCTCAACAGATTGTTAACAAGCACTTGTCAATAATTTACCAACAAAACCGCTGAATTAGTGTCAATTTTCAATTGTTCATTGTTTCAACTGTCGGCCCGAATCAACCAAATCGTCCATTGATTGATTAAATAAATACTAATATTGTCGTAAACACAATTCGTTGGTATTCAGAGGCCGTGAGAAATGCGTTATTCAACGGCGCAACACGGACTAACCCTCAAACGTGAAAAGCAGCCCTTAATAACGCACACACCCGCCCCACCACTCCTCCACAAAGCAACACCGCCATATTAGCCAATGGGCCAATGGGGTGTCACAGCGCCGTTACGCAAGCTCCCCCACTCGTTGAGGGTTGAATGATGCTTCGGGGCGGGGAATATTTTACTCTGTCGCGTAAAATCTCCCGGCTATTTTTTTTTCATCACTTTTTTTTTACCTCCACCACTCCAACACTCATTTTACCAAGCCTTACACAACTTCGACCCCTCACTTGGACCGGTAATTCGCATATGATTCGCGGCTTTTCTTCCAACCCACCTCCCATTGACTTCAACTTCACGCGACGCTGATGACTCGAGTGGTTGAGGAAATGCCCTCGATTATCATTTTGCTTCCGGATGGAAGCACCGTAATCGTTCTAATTTAGGTTTTCTATTTTTTGTGTTATATCGACCCGTTATGATCCCAAAAGTCCGAAAATGCATTGTTTGAATGGTGTCCGTACGTTCACATGTATGTGCACTGATAGAACGGATTAGTTACTGTTAACGAATGGATTTTGGTTGGAGATTAGAGTCTATTCGGTCCCACCAAATGTTCATTCGTTAATAGTTAACGAATGTATATTTGAGGAGCCTTGTTTGACTTGACTTTCGCCATTCAAGTGAACCATTCGTTAACTATTAACGAATATTCATTTGGTCATATTCAACTCCACCATTCGTTAATAGTTAACGAATCTCGTTTGGAATAAATGAATCATTCTATCAGTGTGTGTATGTAACAAACTTTTTTTTTCAACTTCTCGCTAATGAATAGATGGAAATAAATCTTTTTTTTTCTCAAATGTAGGTATTGCTAAGCCCTATCCATCGCCATTAATTAGAGTTCAATTAATTGATTAATTTTTTTAATTTTCGAATTTTTTCAAAATTCAGTTGTAACGCGATAACTAAAAGAAAGGTTCTAAATTCACTGAATGACGGCTTAAAAAATTCGGGATGTCCTTTGGCCGTAATTTTTCTACTTCATTAACAAGTTGAATGTAACTACCACTTAAATTCAGGTACCGAACACTTAAATTGACGAAATGTAACGAACACTTGAATTCACGTACGAGTTAAATTCAGCTTCCGCCAAGAAAAAAAAGCAAAATATTTCGTACAACTCACTCCAGGCCCCCGTTAAAACCCCCCGAATCCCAAAATCCCACATTTCCCCAGATAATTACGAAAAACGAGGTCGAGCCCAAAAATCCCCTAACTTAAAACGAACCACAGCAGTGTTTTCCACCGCCAGGCCACAAAACCCGGAAAAATTTACGTGATTATCCTTACTTATTCTAAGACAACGCCTCTCCCAGCAACGGGGCTGGCGTGCAAGACACAGCGGCTTAAATCAAGTAGTTTAATCCTAAGACGAGTCCGACGCGCCACTACTTATTGGCTACTTATAACCAACCGTTTCGAACAATGACACGGGAGGAAGAGTGACATAAATGAAGCACTTGTCCCTCACCATTATTAAAGATTTTTTACTTATCTCGGGGGGAGATAATTTTTCACCGATGGTTACGCCAACTCTGGCAACTAAATTTTTCACAAAACGAGGGCAACTAACAGTGGGACAAATATTTTCAGTGAATTGCCGATACCTGATGGGAAAAACTGAGGGAATTGTGACAGGTCGTTTAGAACTGGGGAAATAGTGGAGAGACTGTTGGGGAATGCCCACAAAATTTTGACAATGGATTTGTCTTAATCCACTTAAGGAAATAATGGAGACTCAAATGGAGTGATTTTCGGGGTCTAACCAGTATTGGGGGGAAAATTGTGTCATTATACACTGAAGTATTATTTTCGACAGATAATAATAATCTATACTGCGAAATAGAAGTTAAAGATCTGGTATTAAACCGAGGAAAGGGGTGTATATTGGATGAAAATTGCCTGGAAAATCGTGGCGAATTTTACTGTACACTGTTGACGGAATTTGGCTGAATTCTCCGGAGAATGGCCTTGAATTTTATTTCAGTGAAAAAGTCAGTGGAACTTCAAGTTTGTTCGAAAATTCAAGTAAAGTCGTTTTTTCTAGCGGGAGGAAGACGAAAATTCCGCGATTTCCTGAATTTTCAGGGAATTTCTTAAAAACTCTCGGAATCATTAAGGGGAGACTACTATGAGTTTTAAAACTCGTGGATTATTCGAGTGAGACTTCTCTTACGTTGAAGATCGATTATATAGATCTGCAAACGAATAATTAGTGCAAAAAAAAATTTTTGTTATTGTTCGTTTGCCCGAAAACGCTTAATATGCTAAAAATAGTCCAGGGCCTCCAATTTTTGAGCTACAAAAGATTTTTTGGTTTCAAAATTTTTGGAAAAATGTGCGGAACGACAAGTACGAGCCAGTTTTTTGGAATTCGACCCCTACGCAGCTGATTTCGGTTTTTTTCATATAAAAAAATTCACTATTTGTGTAAAAAAATACCAAAAAAGGAAATTTAGCCATGTAAGAGGCGAATAAAAAAAAATAGCTCGTAAGTATTATTCCACATATTTTTCCGAAAATAAAAAAAAAGCCTTCGCAGCTGAAAAATTGGAGGCCCTGGATAAAACAATAAAAAAAATTTTTTTGCAGTAATTATTCATTTTCAGATTTGTATAATCGATCTTCAACGCATGAAAAGTCTCACTCCAATAATCCACGACTTTTAAAACTCATAGTATTCTCCCCTTAACAACGCTGAAAATTCCCATTTTCAGTTAACCCATCTCCATCGGATAATTTTTTCGAAGCAACATATACGTATCCCCAGACTCATTTGGTTTCAGATTCCGCGTTATTTCGACCACACCCACACGGCGATAACCGAGGGTGGAGCGACGAGAGGTGATATCTCCTGGTTATAACGGGGCTTTATGATGCAAATAAACCGCCCTATATGCTTTTGAATCTGGACCATAGACTCGGCCCTCTGTATGAAATTCATTACAGCGATAGAATGTAAGTGTACGAGTGGCCGAATTTAATAATAAAATTTTCCTCATCGATGCAAGAGCCGTTAAAAATGACGCTGATTCAACTCCAAACGGAGAATTAATCGGTAATAAATTCACTCACCCCATTCCCACCGTCTCCAACAAGTCATTACTCACAGATTCACCAACTCTCCATTCCACCCCCCGTTGGCAAAATGAATCACACAGCTCCTTTCCTCCAAACTCAGCTGCACGAGTCCCTCACAACTCCACGAAACTCATCTGAAACTGCAACAAAGTTGATATTAATAATCTCGCACAATCGCATGTATGCAATAATCTCGTGTCAGGTATCAAGTGAATGTACACCTCTGCTAAAGGCTAATTGTTCAATGGTTTGTATCCTTCTTTTCTGTGAAACTTAATACTTATTAACGCCGGGTGTAAAAGATTTTCAGGGTAGAGGATTGAATCAAAATACTTCATTAAGAGTTCCAGGGATATTGCTGAGGGAATTTTCCTCATCCTCTTAACGTTAAAGACCTTACGCATCATTGAGATAAAAAAATGTACTTGAAATTGTAGAAAAAATAGAAATGACACATTATAATTTTCACGGAGAGAAATATTCAGTAAAAATTACGGAACAATTCACGTTATCATAGACCGGCATCAATCATTACTTCAGTAATATCATGAGAAGTTACCTTACAGTAATTTCGCTTTATTCATCATAATTGAAATTAAAAAAATAATGTAATAATTAGTAATTTAATTTCTCACTTATCAATTGATAGAATAATTCGGCATTTGAAAATGTAAATTGATGATTATTATTACAATAAAAAAATTGCTGACTTAAATGACCAATTGACTCATTCAAAATGTTATGAAATATAAGAACGAAATATGATAATTCATTTCAACATTATTTAAATTAACCTAGTCTCTTGTGAATATTATTCCACCCAATTCAGTAGATTAGTCCCTTAGATTGACGATAGAATAACTCGATAAAAAATTTATCAATTTTCCACGGTCCTTTGACACCAGTTGAAAAGGTTATATGGACGATTGAATGCTCAGTAACGTGGCTGTTTGATCTTGAAATCGGCTCGTCGAGCCCATTGTCAATTGTATCACGTTATATGCCTTCACTTTCCTCTTCCCCATCATCTTCATCTTTTCACACGTACATATCATCCCTCTTTTGCAGATTAAACGATGCCCTATTCTCAGTCATCTAACGTGACTGCATACCTCTGAGCCCTGCATCACTCGCTCTCACTCTGCATTTCTCTTCTTCTTTATTCCCATTATTTCGAGATTCTTCGTGGATGTGGATATATGGCTGTGATTAGGAGAGATTTTGCGGAGATACTCCATCCGAAAAGCCCCAATTTGGGTCTTTGTTTGTTTTTTTTCAATTTCAATTAATTCAGTAGCGAAGTGGTAAAGGAGATGAGTCAATTTTGACTATTGACCAGTTTTCAATCAATATCTCGGAATCCAAAGGAGATAGATAAATTTTTGTTATAACCTTTTTTGTGGGGCCGATTGAGTGCTACAAAAAATATTATTACGAAAATTTCGCTATCTCCTTTAGATTCCGAGATATTGATTGAAAACCCGTCAAAAGTCAAAATTGACTCATCTTCTTTACCACTTCGCTACTGAATTAATTTCAGTTGTAAGAGATGGAGTTATCGTTGTTTAATTCATTATCATATTGTTATTTAATTCATTATAATTTCTTACTGTGATAAAAGAGAATGATTCGTCAATTATCAAAATAAAATAATGATTTATAAACTTGCTTTGGCAATTTTATAAAGCAGAATCGTTAAAATAAGACGTTTGATTGAGTTTTCGAGGAATATCTCCGAATCTAAGGGAGATATCGAAATTTTCGTAATGACCTTTTTTGTAGCTCTCACTCGGCTCTACAAGAAAGGTTATAACAAAAATTTCGCCATCCGCCGTAGATTTCAA